CCCCCATACCTGGCTATTTCCCCCACCTCCCCCAATAGTGAAATCCAATTTTTTTTTACTACCGGTTCTGTGGGCGTGGCTTGGTGGCATGGCAGGAAGGATACTGCAAAATCTCCATTCCCTCCCCACTCCAGAGGAAGGATACTGCAAAATCCCCATTCCCTCCCCACTACTGGGGGAAGGATACTGCAAAATCCCCATTCTTAAAAATTCTTTTTAAGGGTTTTTTAATTGTTCTGTTTTGTTTATCGTTTTAATTAATGGGGCCAAATCTATATATATATATTTAACTGTATTTTAATATTTGTATTTGATGTTTTTATTTGGCTGTTCACCGCCCTGAGTCCTCAGGTGGAAGGGCGGTATACAAATTCAAAAATAATAATAATAATAATAATAATAATAATTCCCTCCCCACTCCAGAGGAAGGATACTGCAAAATCCTCATTCCCTCCACATTCCTGGGCAAGGATACTGCAAAATCCCCATTCCCTCCACATTCCTGGGAAAGGATACTGCAAAATCTCCATTCCCTCCCCACTCCTGGTGGCTCTTCTCTGCACTCTTTCTAGAGTCTCTATATCTTTTTTTTTTTTTTTTACAATGTTTCTGGATCGTACAGTGGTTGAGAAACTTTGCTTCTCTTACCTCCAGAGCTTGATCCAGATTTCCTTGCTGGAGATACAGGCAGCCAATGTTGAAATCTATCTTGGAAGGAGGATTCTTGATGCCACGAAAAATTTCCAAGGCAGTGTCAAGATTGCCTTTCTCAAGGGCTACGACGCCTTTGTCCCAGTCTCTTACTAGCTGTTGATAAGCCATCAGTCTTGGTTTCTAAGAGCCAGTGATCTGACAACAATCTTGAGTTGGTCGTTGGAGAGTTGATCTCCGGTCTTTGTTCTGCTAGATTCGGCTTTTAGAATGAAGTAAACCAGGAAGTTGAATATCTTTTTTTGCTCAAGGAAGGAAATGCAGTTGGTGGAGGAAGGCGAGTCCTCCAAGATAATAACCTTATCATCATAAGACAATCTATCAAGGACTTTTGGGTGTCGCTATGATTCCAGAGAGGCACTAGGTGGCGTCAGAGAGACACAGAAACCTCTTTGTCGCCATCTGGTGACTGTCTTGAGTTTTTTTTCCAACCAGTTCGGGTTGATTTAGGTGTGTGTGGAGTTAATTCTGAAAGAAACTTCTAAGTTTAATAAGCCCCAGGCTCAGCTAGTTATTTTTATTTCTATCTTGCTATTATTATTATTATTATTATTATTATTATTATTATTATTATTATTATTATTATAAAAAAAATAACTCAAAGCAGGGAACATATCCAACACGCTTTCCTCGCCCTGTTTCTCCATAACAAACCCCCTGCGAGGTGGGCTGAGAGAGCGGGACAGGTCCAAAGTCACCCAGCTGGGTTTCAAAGCTAAGGTGGGACTTGAACTCATGGTTTCTTCTGTTTGCAGAGTCGGTCCATCTGAGTGTGCCCAGTTGCCAAATCCATTCGTTTAACCGGTTCACGCATTACCATTTGCAAACCTGTTAGACAGTCAGTGCAATTCTCCCTGCTGTGCCCCAAATCATTCTAATGAAAAATTGTGCGTATGCATGCAGTGGAGTTTGCAATTCAATTTTTTTTTCTACCAGTTCTGTGGGCATGGCCAGGTTGTCATGTGACTGGGCGGGCGGGCCACGTGGCCAATTTAGCAGTTCCATTTTGCCAGGGAGCAAGGGGCTGGACTAGATGATCTCGGAGGTCCTTTCCAGCCCTGGATTGCTGAGCTGATCGGGAGGGAATGGGGATTTTGCAGTATCCTTCCCCTAGAGTGGGGAGGGAATGGGGATTTTGCAGTATCCTTCGCCTGGAGTGGGGTGGGAATGGGGATTTTGTAGTATCCTTCCCCTGGAGTGGGGAGGGAATGGAGATTTTGCAATATCCTTCCCCTGGAGTGGGGTGGGAATGGAGATTTTGCAGTATCCTTCCCCTGGCGTGGGGAGGGAATGGAGATTTTGTAGTATCCTTCCCCTGGAGTGGAGAGGGAATGGGGATTTTGCAGTATCCTTTCCCTGGAGTGGGGAGGGAATGGAGATTTTGTAGTATCCTTCCCCTGGAGTGGGGAGGGAATGGGGATTTTGCAATATCCTTCCCCTGGAGTGGGGTGGGAATGGAGATTTTGCAGTATCCTTCCCCTGGCGTGGGGAGGGAATGGAGATTTTGTAGTATCCTTCCCCTGGAGTGGGGTGGGAATGGGGATTTTGCAGTATCCTTCCCCCTGGAGTGGGGAGGGAATGGGGATTTTGCAGTATCCTTCCCCCCTGGAGTGGGGAGAGAATGGGGATTTTGCAGTATCCTTCCCCCTGGAGTGGGGAGGGAATGGAGATTTTGCAGTATCCTTTCCCTGCCACGCCCACCAAGCCATGCCACACCCACCAAGCCACGCCCACAGAACCGGTAGTAAAAAAAATTTGAAATTCACCACTGGTATGTATTGTATAGGCATGTATGTACAGTATGTATGTATCCTCGTGAAAAATGGATTTATCAGTGAGCGATACCCAAGCTAATGTAGCTAAAGGAACTGCGTGCAAAAACGACAAAAAAAAAAAGATAGAAGCCACAGGCAGGCTGAGAAAAACCCAACAGACTTTTATTTGTCATTCGTCAATGTATAAAAATGGTCATCCGAATATAGGACAGTGTCCCCTTAAAGCAACAGTGTGATTACAGAGGAATTCCTGCTTAAATTCATATATTATACTATGTACACATCTGAATGCCGTTTCTAAATACAAAATATACAGGGCCGAAGAGCCGAAATAGATTTAAACAAACCCCCGGAGGTTTAGCAAAACTAGAATAGAAAAGGAAGGGAAGGGGGGTGGAAGTTTCTATTTTTTTCAGGGAATCCTATGTGCTTTGCGACAAAAGTGGTTATTCATCCACAGTTTCAAACTTCAAGTAAACTCAAAAGGAAGAGGAAATAGTCAAAGGAAAAGTGGGGGAGGCATCATTATTGCTTTTAGTTAGGCGTGTGGATGGCTTGATTGTTGCGAAGAGATGCACCGGAAAGGTTTTAGAAGCAGCTAATTATCATCATTATTATTTTTTAAAAATAATTTTTATTTTGTGTCTTTTGTATATATATTTTTTTAAAAAAAATCAATGCCATGCAGCAAAACGTGTAGTTAGGACACTCTTTCTTGCCTTCGTCTGCTTTTGAAGACACAGGAACAAAGAGTTAGCAAATATTGACTCGATTTCGCTCCGAAAGCATGCTGGGGAATGTTTGCTAACTATCAAGGAAAAGGTGAAAAGCCAGATCAGTTTTTCTGGAGTTATGGGAGCATGGGTTATTGTAGCCAAAAGGTAACGAGACCAAGATGCTTGTGAGGGCGATGGGAAGGAAAATATCCCATGCATAGGACAGTTCTTGGAATGATCTGTAGACCATTCCAGATATTTAATGCACCAAGGTCAAAGGCCATGAAGAGGCCCCCCCCCTTAAACATTGGGTGTACACCAAGTCTCCTTCCAGATGTTCTAAATTACAATCCTCAGCTGCCCTTGTGAGAGCAACGACGGTGAGGAAAACTGGGACTTCTTCTTCTGCAGCAGTATCTGGAGAAGGAAGCTCTCCTTTCCTGCTGGAACCAACTCTGATGGCCAATGCATGAGTTTGGACAGATGGGTTGAGGGTTCATTCAGACAGAGCTTGTCAGGAGAACCCTACAATTGTGTTCTGATGACCCAGGTTCCATGGATAGCTTGAAGCTATCAATGATTGGATTCATTGAGCCCACCTGAAATTCTCAACCAGCTTGGCCTTCCCTATGAGACATCCCTTTCTCCATTCTCTGAATTCCAGTTATCTCCAAATTCCCGGCTCCCTGAATATACCATACAATTTGGTGTTGCCATCAACACCACCCTCCCGAAGGAGACGTCGTCTCCGTAAATGCCACAGTTTCTGAGATCCATCTCTTTCCAATCACGGAGATGTATCCTCAGCAAAATACAGCAAGATTAGCTGTTGGTCAACACAACTGATGCCATGGAGATGCTCCTTCTATTGTGTAGGGAGGAAGTTGCTGTGTTACTTCTTTCACTGACAGATGCCAGTCTATGATATCTGCTGGCCATGTCTACCATTTGAGGTAGTCTTCAGGAAAATGGGGTGCATGGGACCGATAAGACCAGGCAGTTGGGTCTACAGAAGAGAGACCCAACTGTTCCTTCTTCCCCGGTATCAAGTTCCTCAAGCTAATTTGCATCTCCGTGGTATTAAGGCAGAAGATAAAGTCTTCTTTATTATCAAGTTCCCCAAACTAATTTGCATTTCCTTGATATTAATTTAAAAAAAAAGAGAGAGAGAACAAGAACCTAATGATTTGAATAAGGCACCTGGCTTAGCGCTTCAATAAAAACCTTTTCAGTCAAGTTTGCTCCTTGTTTCACAGGTAGTTTGTCTCATTCAAAGTACACCAGGTGGTTTCCAAATATGTTTACCTTTTTCCGGATCAGCTAGGATAAAAAGGGTTGACGGGTTGAACTGTTCAAAGGGTCATTTCCCCGAAACTGAAAAATTGTAATTCTGGAAGAGAATGTTTACAAAAGTTCTCCTATTTAAAAAAATTGTCGTCCTCTTCCTCGAAAATCAGTCCAGTTGCCTTTTCAAAAATAAAACTTTTGATATGTCTCCAGCAATGAATTCTCCTGGCATGGGAAAATGGAATTATTTACCAAACTGCTTTTTGCCCTAGATTTGCTCAGATATTGTTTTGTGCAAATTAACAATAACCTTAAGCACCATACAAAAAAAAAATAAAAAAAATAAACAAGGTTGTAACGATGATCAAACTTCCTACACATTAATTTGAAATCATGGGCTGGTTGAAAAGTTGGCAGTTTGCAAGATAGACCTCTTACTCCCAAATTGGGCCAAGTGTGATTTTTCTACAAATTTGGAGCCTTTCTCGGGGGGACGCAGAGGGAAATATTCAGGGCGTTAATGGTTTTCTTTTTCTTCGGTCAAATCTGTCTTCTCCGAGTGTTTCTCAAGTTTTTTTCCCGCCCACAAAACTCCAAATTTTCAAGCTTAAATCCCGATGGGCTAGAAACCCAGTTGGCTAATTTTTTTAAACTGTTTTAAAACCTAGAAATTAAAGCAACGGGTGTTTAAGGGATTGAAAATAAAGAAGGAAAGGAAGGGTGGGTGGGTGAAAAATGAAATTGAGATGTTCTAAAGGTGAGCTCGATGACTTCTTTGGCATCTTCACAACTTTCAATATAGCACGATTTGAATATCAGTCCTTTCGGGCTGCCAAAGATCCATTTCATCTTGATATTAATCACAGTGTCGGGTAAGCCTTCCTATGATAATGCCACCCCACCCACCCCCCACGGCCCCCAAAGTAAATCCTTTCCATTTGTTGAGATCTAGAAGGCCTTCCTATCAATCTTGACATTCATTTTGGTTTTGCTCTTCACAAAAGTAGTTAAATCCAGTGTGGGAAACTTCACAGGTCTCTCCTTTTGGTGAATGGGCAGTCACAAGTATCCATCGGCTCCCCAAATTTGATTGAAAGATAGAAAAGGATAGTAGTCGGTGGTCCGACAGAAAACAGGAGCTTGAGGTCCCACAGGATGCACCAAACATAGTTTTCAGGGAAGGTGGGCAGATATCCAAGAAGCTGACTCTTCCAAAGAGGTGGAACATAATTTCTCTCCCATTCTGGAGACAGCGAATTCTGCTGAGAGCTAAAGAAGGAGGGACAAAACAGAGGCGAAAGATCTTCTCCATATTTCAAGGAAAGAAGGCAAAAATATTCCATGAGATGTTAAGTTTCTCAGCCCTCTGGAACTCTGAATCGTGGCTGAGAAAAGCAGCAGCTTCCAAGATGCCCCCATGGAGAGGGCAATACAGAACATGGATCCTTCTCGCCAAGGTGATGTGGCCACCTCCACTTGGGGCCATGCTTCTTCTCAGGATGACCACCAGCCACATGACAAAGAGGCCCCGTCATGCCATCTCTTGAAGAAATCTCAAGAAGAACACCTTCAACGGTTACTCTGGTGGGTCGTCTGACTTCACCTGGTCTTGTCCACAGGAAAGAGGGAGTCAAACAGACTCTTGAGAACCTTTGGCCCAACTGCAGTGGTCTTTCAACAGTCTCACGTTCTCATATAGGTCCGATACTTCCATCCATCTGTTCGATGAGAAACAGATGGATTGCTTCAAAGGTGGGACGATCTTTGATATCCCGGCTCCAGCATTTCATCATCAAGGAAAACACAGGATTTGAACATAGAGGCGGCTGAGACAAGTAAGCCTGTAGACCAGAAGAGCAGAAGGATGTCACAGAGGGATTTTGGAATTATTCAACGTCCATTTTTCTTTTCATATAGATACTGTACAATCCCCATTCCCTCCCCACTCCTGGGGGAAGGATACTGTAAAATCTCCATTCCCTCCCCACTTCAGGGGAAGGATACTGCAAAATCCCCATTCCCTCCCCACTCCAAGGGAAGCATACTGTAAAATCCCCATTTCTCCCAATCATCTGGGACTCGGGAGGCAGAGAATCGATGGGGGACGGGGCCAGTCAGAGGTGGTATTTACCGGTTCTCCGAACTACTCAACCTTTCCGCTACCGGTTCTCCAGAACTGGTCAGAACCTGCTGAAATCCACCTCTGAAGAAGACCCAACATAATTAATTGATTTGAGGTATCCTACCTGTCGGCCTTGATCTCGGAAGAATTCCCCCGTATTCTCAATCACCTGTTCGTCAGACAGCCAACTGTACGGCTGCTCTTTGCATAAGGTGTACATCTCCCACAACGTCACACCAAAGGCCCACACATCACTGGCGGTGGTGAACTTTCCCTAAAGAAATGAAAACAGTCGCTGGTGACTGAAGGTTCTCTACCAGTTCAGGATCACGTCCGTTCCTGTTTGAGGAGCTGCTAGGAGGTCCTTTCTTAATCTTCACCATCCTGAATGTTCTCCAAGTAGCTGGATTTCAGGCATCTAATCCAATGTGATTTTTGCTAAGATTTCTTTTTTTTTTTCTTAATTCTTTTTTTATCAAGCATATTTCAACCTTTGCATGTCATTTCCACTTTTTACAACATTCCAGTATTGGTAACACTCGCATTTACATAGTTTCCAATTTTATATATTCCCAGGCCATTCCAGCAGTGGAATAGGATTATCTTGAAACTCCAAAATAAAAGTGGTGTTATTAGCCATCAAACCTCAAAAATACACTTTTCCCAAAAGGTATCCACAATTTTGGTAGAAAGGGGAGTAGAAGAAGAGACGATGATAATGATGAAGAAGGAGAAAGGAAGGAGAAGGAGGAGATGGTTGTTGTGGATGATGATGGAGGAGGAGGAGGAGGAAAAGAAAGGAGAAGGAGAGAGGAGGAGAAGGAGAAAGGAAGATAAGAAGATGGAGGCAGGATGATTATGTCTGATGGAAAAGGAAAAGCAAGAAGGAGAAGGAAAAGAATGAGAAAGATGAGGAGGAGGAGGGGAAGGAGGAGGAGAAGGAGATAGAGACAGGCGGATGATGATGATTGATGGAGATGATTGAGAAGAAAAGTGAGGAGGAGAAGGATGAAGAGAAGGAGAAGGAGAAGAAGGAGAAGGAGAAGAAGAAGAAGAAGAAGAAGAAGGTAGAGAAGGAGATTGAAATGAGTTGATAATGACTGATGAAGAAAAGAAAGAAAGGAAAAGGAGAAGAACACAATTTTAGTTGGCCTACGATTCCATCTTCTTACCAACAGAATGCTCTCCCAGGCCATCCAGCGGATCGGTAACACAGCCCTACCCTGTATCCGGTAATAATCGCCACTGTACAGATTCCTGCTCATGCCAAAATCAGCAATCTTGATGGTGTAGTTATTTCCAACCAAGCAATTGCGTGTGGCCAAATCCCGGTGGACGAAGTTGAGGGACGCCAAGTATTTCATGCCGGAAGCAATCTGAGTTGCCATGAGCAAGAGATGGAGATTGCTGAGGAAAGAAGAGCCAACACAAAGAATCAAGCAAGGAATCTCGGAGGTCTCGCTGACGTCTGTCATTAATGCTATAGATCCATGATGGCGAAGCTATGGGACGGGTGGCACACGTAGCTATATCGATAAGCATGTGAGCTCAGCTCTGGCACAGATGTGCATGCCAGCCAACTGGTTTTCAGGCCTTCTGAGCCCACTGAAAGTAGGGAGAGAGAGAGGGAGGGAAAGAGAGAGGCAGGGAGGGAAAGAGAGAGAGAGAGAGAGAGAAGAGAGAGGGAGGGAGGGAAAGAGAGAGGGAAGGAAAAAGGGAGAGGGAGAGAAAGAGAGAGAAAGAGAGAGAGGGAGGGAAAGAGAGAGAGAAACAGAGAAAGTGGGAGGGAAAGAGAGAGAAAGAATGAGAGAAAGAGAGAGGGAGGGAGGGAAAGAGAGAGGGAAGGAAAAAGGGAGAGGGAGGGAAAGAGAGAAAGAGAGAGAGGGAGGGAAAGAGAGAGAGAGAAACAGAGAGAGGGGGAGGGAAAGAGAGAGAAAGAAACAGAGAGAGTGGGGAGGGAAAGAGAGAGGAGGGAGGGAAAGAGAGAAATGATATTACAAAAGTTTTTCTTTTTTATTGTCGCTAAAACGTAATATTTCAAAAGCAGGGGGGAAATGAACGGGCATAAAAGGGTATTTATCACGTTTTTCTCAGAACAATTAGCTGAACTCTGCATTGTTTATCGTTATTTTAGGTAGTAAAACCTCATCATTCAGGTTAAATTGCCGTGTTGGCCCTTTGCGATAAATAAGTGGGTTTTGAGTTGCCGTTTGGGGGGAGGGCCACTCAGTCTCCAAAAGGTTCGCCATCGCTGATATATAGAGCATGCATTTTAATGCCTATTCACTCATTTACTTATTTAGTTTTATCCCACCTTTATTGTTCTCAGTTCTAGTTTGGGCCAACTCTTTCCCTTCCCTTCCGTCACCTGACACAAGGAACGTTGCTGGAATGTGTGAAAGTGCTTCGACTCCGTCTTTGCAGGAGGAACTGGTGAAGGTCCCCGTTTTCCATGTATTCGGTGATCATGCAAAGAGGATCGTCCTTCACGCACACACCCAACAACCGGATGATGTTCGGGTCATTCAGCCGGGACATGATCTTGATCTCTTTTAGGAAATCGTTCCTAGGAAGGGTCAAAGAAGAAGGATAGAAGGCCGAACGTTCTGTGTAGAAAAGCCGATAGACATCATCGTTGTTCCAACTTTATGGGGGAAGGACCATATTTCTGATCAAGGGTCAAGGATTGTATTGTTGTCTACAGAGCAGAGCTGGCAGCAGATTCGGACAGTGAGGAGGTTGGGGAGGTCCTGGAATCTGGGGAAGGCTCTGATGAGGGCTCTGCGTCAGAGGCAGAGAGGGGGCCAGGGCCGTCTGACAGTTATCAGCTGCCTTCGGAGTCAGACATCAGTGAGGCAGACGAACAGCTGGAGCCTGTTCCCAGTGTGAGAGTTGCCAGACGAAGGGAACAGCTAAAGAACAAGGGTCGACTCAGGAGTAAAGCCACAGGTGGACAATGAATGACCCCTCCCAGAGGGAATAAAAGAGGAGCGAAAAGGGAGTGGAGTTTGCAGGAGACAATTAGTTCGATTAATTGGTTCATGACTCTCCGAGATTCCTTGCCAAGTTTTGAAGATATCGGCCTGGCAGTTCTCCAAGACAGATAAGGTCTGTGACTGTTAATTCACCCTTGAAAGACTTTGCTGGATGTGAATGAGAAGAATTCACAGTAACTTAATAAAAAGGGATTTTTGTCGGGACAAGGCGTCTGCTTCATGCTCTTGGGAAGCCTAGGTCAGAACAGATTGATGCCGCATGCTTTGGGATCTCATGCAAGTAATTAATTAATCTAATTAAACTATCACAATTAATGCAATCACAACAGAGGGCTATCTGGACTCCAGGGAGGAGGAGCTGTCACACCTGGGGGTTGTTGGTTTCTCTGTCCAACTGTAAGGGAAGTTGGACAACTAACCAGAATCTCCCCACTTATGACGTAGGGCCATCTCTACATGTCCATACCGTAGGATGATAGACAACAACGCACAAAAGACTGAAATGAGATCTCATCAGATCTTTGAGAACTTTACTGATGCTGTCACTGAAGCTTACCTGGCTGTCTTGGTGACATCAGCTCTCAACATTTTCACAGCCACCAAAATTGCCCGGCTAGAACTTTCTGGAGAAGCACGGCCCAAGAATTCCGGAAGACCGACAGCTTCACAAAGGTGGACCTGAAGGGCCAACCCACGATTAGGCAACCCAACAATTAGGCAAAGCTACAAAATATCTGCAGACTTCAACCTAACCGAATGGTGGACCTACCAATGAAGTGTCCTACCTCTCCTTGATCTCTGACTGGGAAATATGATCAACTCACTTCCCCGCTTTGCCCTTCTCAATGTACTCACCTCCCCAAATTGTCCTTCTCCCAACTTCTCCTTGAGCTGCAGCTGGTGCCGGGGAAACTCAGCGATGGAGATGTCCTTCTTGGTCAACGAGTCAACGGTGATGGCTGGCACGGCGTATGTATTGTTTCCTGTCACCCCTTGCAAGTTGACGATGTCTGTCTCGGCGTAATGGGGAACGTTATTCTGGAATCCCTGGTGAGGGGTGCACTTGGTGAGGTCGGGCTCCGCATAATCACCACTGCAGGCTGAAAGACCAAGGGAGACAAAATTGGTTTGGACCAACATCATGTTCAGAATTCCATACAACATATTTGGGATGCTCATTTCTGAAGAACACTGAAGGCACTTCCTATCTGATACTTCCTTTTTGAAAGTCTCAAACTTTTCTAGTTAATATATGCACAACAATGGAAAAATGATGAGATCCCATCTGAGGAGGATATAATTAAGAAAATACTAGAATGTGCAGAAATGGATAGATTAACGCTTACTATTAAGGATAAAGAAGAAACTGAATACTTTTTGATATGGGACGTATTTTATCCATGGCTAGACAATAGAAGTTAAAAAGGAGGAGCTATAAAAGGAGGAAATGCCAAAGTGGAGAGTTGTTAAAGAATGATGTTAAGTAATATTGTTATTATATTATTATGTTATCAATATTACAGTGATGAATCCCACAATAAATATGTGCGTTATGATTGTTTAAAAATAACTGTACCCAGACCACACACTGTTTGATGAAAACTGAATGTTGTATAAATAAAACAAATAAAAAAGAAAGTCTCAAACTTTCTGGACGCATGAAAGACGAAACTTTCTGAGTCTGCTATCAAATGATCTTATTTAGATGTTTTGACTGCAGACCTATCTCCCGATGAGCCTTCCTGGCCATTCAGAGTAGGCTTTTATCAACAATTGATGAATGTTAATAAAGCCTTTCCCTTTCCTTTAGTTGGGAATAAACTGGCACAGAACATAGAACTTCTTATCTATCAAGGAAGATGACTGACAGAGATTTGCAAACTCCATTGTCTAGGACACAGGTCAGCAACCTGCGGCTCTGGAGCCGCATGTGGCTCTTTCATCCCTCTGCTGCGGCTCCCTGTCGCCAGTCGGCTCCACAATTGATAGGGCTTTCGGTTAGGATAAGTAGAGGAAAAAGGATGCTGTGCTAGGAGGAGGCTCTATGGTGGGGGAACCACACATCCGGTCACCAGAGAAAAAAGGACACCATGCTAGGAGGAGACTCTATGGTGGTGGTGGGGAACCGGACTTCCAGTCGGCAGAGGAAAAAGGATGCTGCGCTAGGAGGAGTCTCTATGGTGAGGGAACCGGACTTCCGGTTGGCACCAGAATTGAACGGGGGGTGGGGGGCTTCTGGTTAGGGCATTTGTGGCTCTTTGAGGGTTTAAAGTTGCCAACCCCGGTCAAGGAAAAGGGGCTAAAACGTGTTTAATGGAAATTTCAAGATTCTGTTATTACAGCCCATGTCAATAAAGGTAATTCCAGTCTTCCTGAGAGGTTGATTTCATGGTTTTGGTCTATCTTTGAGGAAACAAAGAAGCAAACAAACAAAAAAAGATCTATCAAGATTCACTCCACTGCAAAAACCCAGAGAACAAGCTCATCCGATCACCCGGGTTGCAAATTGATCTGGTCACCAACTAACTGAAGAGAAACCGGGCAGCTTGGAAAGCAGAAAAAAAAGAAAGAAAGAAAGAAAGGAGAGAGTCTGAAAAGAAAAGTCGCAATGAATGGAGAAGAAGAAAAAAAAAAGGAGGAGCAGGAGAGAAGGAAGTGAGGGAAAGAGAGATCCCCATCCATTACCCTCTCCAGACCTATTCATTAGTGGTGACTGTGGCCTCGCCCTGTGCAAATTACTCAAAGGAAAAGCTTGTAAGAAAAACCGTTCTCCACGTGCAGCTTTCAATTAGAGCAAGATCTTGCAAGGAGTGAGTGTTTTCCTCATCCCATCTACTCTTAGTCCACTCTTGGGAAGGATGCCAAGTGGCCAAAGCAAGTCGAACCATGCTCTGGAACCCACAATCATCATCCAAGTCATGGACACGCTCTTCACTTAAACCTCAACTCAAAGGGAATGTGTTGTTTGAACTCAACCCAGAGTAGAAGCCTTCCCTACCCGAGTCTTCGGCGCTTTGAGATAACTCTGGCAATTTCTGGAGGAGGGTGAGAGGCTGGTGATATTCCAGGTCCAAGGGGAAGACTCTCTCGTAGGTGGGATTGGTCTGGTGGATCTGTGTCTGGCCATTGACAATTCTGGAGCTGTAGAAGGAGAGACGCACCGTGGCATCTTCTTCCAGGATTCGACGGGGAGCCTATGGAGATCATTTGAGAGATCTTGTGAACAACAGCCAACCACAGTGGGAATTGTTCTTTCTCCGAAGCTTGAGAAAGTTCTAGGTAGCTCAACGAGAGGGTGCATGGTACCGTCTCCAGACGCTTCTGAGCGTACTGTCTCCACAGGATGGCGATGATAACCACCAAAAGGAGGAGAATGATGGCCACAAGACAGCCGATCAGACTGGAAGAGTTGGAGTCCTCTGCCTTCTGCTCGACCCTGGGGCTGATGGAAGCTAGGACGGTGTACCCTGCAAAGAATGTTACACGGTTGATCAGTCCAAATCGATCTAGTAGGAAAGGGTTAAAATAGCTCTGGAGGTTTCCCCCCCCATCTACCACTCCCTCTCCTCAGAGGAGATCTAAATCATTTGTCTCTCTGGCTTCTTACCCAAAGTCCCCTGTGTAGCATTTGGTCGCTCTGATGATGGATATGACTCTGTGGTGGGACTCCATGCAGAAGTAACCAGAATTGGATCAGGAGCATCCATATTGACTAAAGAATTGAAAGGGAGAAAGGCATTATCTCAATTCTAGCCTGAGGAATCTGTATATTTTTCTTTCTCTCTCTCTCTCACTTGCTCCTTCTCTCCCTCCCTCCATGTCTCCTCTCTCTCTCTCTCTTTCCATATCCATCCGTCCATCCATCCATCCATCCATCCATCCATCCATCCATCATATATATATATCCACCCATCTCATAAGAGATTACTCTGGTCACTGTACAACATTTCTTATACATATACCCGTGTTTTCCCGAAAATAAGACCCTGTCTTACATTTTTTTTGAACCCTGAAATAAGTGCTTGGCCTTATTTTCAGGGAGGTCTTATTATTTTGGGGCGCATGGAGCAAGATGGAGCTCCTCTTGCCGTCTTACCTGTTTTCCAGCTCTGCGTTTAAATATTTTTGGGGAGGGCTTATTTTCAGGGGGAGGTTCATTTTAGTGCATGCGCTCAAACGCCCGATTGGGCTTATTATCAGGGGATGTCTTATTTTCAGGGAAACAAGGTATATAAAACAGTCAAAAAAATTTTTAAAATCACTACATGCTTTGTAGAGGGAAAGGCTTGGGAAATCTGGGTGCATGGAGGGTCTGAGCTCCAGGGAGGATCAGTAGAATAAAATAGATAATAATTAATCTAATTATTATCCCACCGAAGTGGTACCGATTTATCTACTCACATTTACATGCTTTCGAACTGCTAGGCTGGCAGGAGCTGGAGCAAGGAACGGGAATCACCCCATCGTGTGGTGCTCGGGTCTCGAACCTGGGCTGCCGGCTTTCCAGCCGACAATCCCAGCCTCTTAACCGTTGGGTCACCCTGCCACCCTGCAAATCAAGGACCCTTGGGTTCTCACCTGATTGAAAAGAGACCTCGCTGATCATCATCCAGGTATCGGCGAAGTAGAAACGGCAAAGAATGGCTTTGCCAATATGGTGGTTCAAGGGAACGGTCACAAATCGCGCGCTGGGATTCTTGTCATCCAAAACGGTGTCCAAACCCACAGGTTGCGGGTCCCACTCGGCGATCCGCTGTGGTTTGAAGAAACATTCCACCCTCTCGAAGATCTTCACTCCTTTGGAAAACATGTTGTTGCAATGGACCTGCAATTGGGCAGTGGCAGGGAAAGAAAAATGGCAGCCATCAGATAACCGTGCTGGCTTTCGGTTGCAGGAAGTGGCACGTCCCTCTGAAATATCGACGGGCTGAACGTAAACCTGGGGAGGCCGCTTAGTCAACCTGGCTTTGCAGAAATGCAGGCATCAAAGATCTTTCACCAGGAGAAGGTTCTACCTTCATGGAGGTGAAATTCCTCTGGTGGTCAAACTGGAACTCCATCTCCACGGCGCCGTTCCGGAAGCTGTCGTTCCTCCAACCGATGTAATCGTAGCCTGGCCATACACGGTATTGGTGGCTCTTGGTGAAATCATCCAGTCCCAGAACACCGTCCGTAAGCTGGCCCAGCCCACCGTGGAGGAGCCTGAGACGAGAGCATTTCCCAGTCAGAAGAATTTTTGGAGATGCTATCTAGGCGATAGATAAACTACGTGGGACTTTATGGTTTTGTCCAATTTCCTCTCATGATAGTCATTTATATTCTAGTCAAAAGGTAGCTATGGGCTCAGAAATAGATAATCAACATTAATTCACTTGTGGAATTCAGTCCCGTTGCTTTTCAGTCCCCCATTCAGATCTAGGGATGCCACAAAGAAGAGGGCAGCCAACCTCTTCTCCAAAGCACCTGAAGGTAGGACAAGAAGCAATGGGTGGATACAAATCAAGGAGAGATCCAATCTAGAACTAAGGAGAAATTTCCCAACAGTGAGAACAATTAATCAGTGGAACAACTTGCCTCCAGAAGTTGTGAATGCTCCAACACTGGAAATTTTAAAGAAAATGTTGGATAACCATTTGTCTGAAGTGGTGTAGGGTTTCCTGCCTGGGCAGGGGGTTGGACTAGAAGACCTCCAAGGTCCCTTCCAACTCTGTTATTCTATTCTGAGGCAAGGGAGATGCTGCTCCTTCTTACTTTCGTTCCTGGTGACCGTCGTAGATCGAGTCATTTAGATAAACGATAGGATTGCCAGGGTCCATTATGGTTTCTCCTTCGGGCATGCTGTAGGACTCCAAGCCATCTAGGAAAGGAGATGGTTGAGCATCAGAAGAATCCGATCACTTACGTGTCTTACCAGCATTCCTCTTTCCTTTCCTTCCATTCTCTTCTGAGCCCACCCCAGAATCTCATCTGAGACGTTCAAACGTCTATGGGAGTTGACGGCTTTTCAGTCTACATCTTAGACTGAAGGGTCAACCGTGGTAGAGCAGCAGAATTTACAGAACCCGTTGAGGTCTGCTAACTTCCATTGAGAAATGGCACCTTACTATCTACCGGCCTATAGCATAATGGAGAATCCGATGGCCATTATCTCTTCCACCGTCAAGACAATCTCTTTTAGAATGGTGGAAAGCAACTTTTTTGTTGGCGCAACTGATAAGATTTGGGAATCTTGGGAGGTTGTAGTGAGCGCTCTCACAAAATGGTACCATGCAGGAATGGCCTAGATCAGTGATGGCCAACCTTTTGGCCATTGCGTGCCAAAAGTGGGGGTTGCGTGCGGGGGTGCCCACACCCATAATTCTATGCGCCCCGCTGCCGCGCATGCGCACGCAATTTCCCTGTGCTCCCCCCGCTTTTGGCACTTGATGGACTGGTGGGCCCGGTAGGCCTGTTTTTTGTCCTCCCCAGGCTCCAGAGGCTTTTTAGGAGCCTGGGGAGGGCGAAAACGGCCTCCCCCCACTCCCCGGAGGCCCTCTGGAGGCAGGAAACAGCCTGTTTCCCTACTTCCGGTGGGCCCAGAAGGCCCTAAAACCAGCTGGCTGGTACGTGCATCCATGCTGGAACTGAGCTCGCGTGCCCACCGATATGGCTACGCATGCCATGCCATAGATTTGCCATCATGGGCCTAGATAGCTCCTGACGGAAAGAACCAATCACAAAGGCTGTAGGAAGAAGTCCCAGGTGCCTTCTTGAAAATTGAGACGATGCTAGTTCAAACTTTCCTAAATTAAAAGAATGTTTGTAACCCAACGGATGGACCATGAGTAGGTAGACATCAAAGAAGATGTCCATTGGCACCAGGGGTGAAATCCAGCAGGTTCTCACAGGTTCTGGAGAACCGGTAGCAGAAATTTTGAGTAGTTCGGAGAACCGAAAAATACCACCTCTGCCTGGCCCCAGAGTGGGGTGGGAATGGAGATTTTGCAGTATCCTTCCCCCAGGAGTGGGGTAGGAATGGGGATTTTGCAGTATCCTTCCCCTGCCACTCCCACCAAGCCACACCACGCCCACCAAGCCACGCCCACAGAACTGGTAGTAAAAAAATTGGATTTCACCATTGGTATGGAACCTTCTTGGAATTGCTCATCCAAGAAGCTACTTCAGTCCTGAAGAACGTTTTCAACAGGGGGAGGGGGGGCAAGAAAGTCCTGTTGCCTTTTTGGAAAAGCACCTTTGGGACAACCAGGACCTGGATGATTGAGACTCTCCATCAACATGTAAGTCCTTACCAGACCAGACACAACCGTAGAGTTCTATTCTCATGCAGACAGTCATGGGCTGCTCCGTCACTGGGATCACACGGATGTAGCGAGCGATGATAGGTGGGCGAAGATCTTTCAACACAACCTCGTAGGTGTCTGTGTTGCCTTGGATCACCTGGAAGGGATTTGGCCATCTTAGAGGCACTGGACCTGGAGAATTGTGAGTCTTGAGAAGGAGAAGCCCATGTGGGTAGCTTTGAGTCTACCTGGTTGGGGCAGCCTAGCTGGAAACATCTGGGAAGGTTGGAGAAGGCTACTGCGAAGATCTCAAGCAAAGACCGGGCCACCTGAGAACTTGATCATGAATGTCTGAAGACGTTCTCCGTGGTCATGTGGCTGGCATGACTCAACGCCAAAGGCGCACGGAACGCTGTTCCCTTCCCACCAAAGGTGGTCCCTATTTTTCTACTTGCATTTTTTTACGTGCTTTCGAACTGCTAGGTTGGCAGAAGCTGGGACAAGGTACGGGAGCTCACCCCGTTACGCGGCACCAGGGATTCGAACCGCCGAACTGCCGACCTTTCGATCGACAAGCTCAGCGTCTTAGCCGCTGAGCCACCGCATCCCATAAATAGGCTTAGAAACGCTTAAAACAGGCTTTTAAAATGAAGCAAACCACACTGTAGCTCAAAGCAGCGGCTGCAAGAGCTTTTACTCATTCGCTTCCCTCAAATCTATTAAGTTATTCTTGCTCCTGTTTTCCTGACTGCCTATGCAACGGACATTCATAACAGCTACTAGGTCTGCTGCACCAAGAGCTGGTCCTTTACAAACTGTTGAGAATAACGTTAAAGGAAAGCAGCAAAGGATTTGTGGGCAGGGAGGCAGAGGAGGTATTCATCCGGTTCGGACCAGTTCGCTCGAACCGGTTGCGGAAATCACAGGTGGCAGCCGACCCCGGCTCTATGCCAACCTATTTAGGCACATTTTTGAGGCTGGGAGAATGCGCTGAAGGGGCATATGGCAGCAAAGCACATGTGCGGAAGGCCGGGTCCATGCGTAGACAGGGCAGGTGTGCTCACATTTGCGAACCGGTAGGGAAAGTAAGTGAATATCATCCTTGGCAGGAGGTAAGTAAGTTTGGAACTCATCTGGATGAGTAATAAATTAAGATGTATTCCATACACACACCCTCTTATTTTGTTTTTTTGAAAATGAGGTCTAACAGCTTTCGGTAAGCCGTATCTTCAGGGCTCAATTTCTTTGCAGCTGTTTCATCTCTCACCTACCTGCCTGTTCTGACGGTCTTTCCAAGAGAGCCACCGTTCGCCGTTACGGCTGTAATTGATCCGATAAGCCCGGGCGAACTCCTTCCCGGTGGCCCGGGCGTGGCGCCCTTGTGTCCCCACCAGGGTGATGAAGTAGAGTTTGTGAAGGTCAATCTGAAGAAACTGCACGTCTTCCGGTTGCAAGAGTCCGGCCGGACACCACGCGCCGTCGCCCTCTTCTCTGAGCAATCTGAACACGCGTGGGGCAGAAGGAGAGGGAGAACCCATAACTCAAAAGACCACTTTAGAAACTTGAATGACGATGGAGATTCTCCATCGTCCAGTTGTCTCAAAGATGCTTTTCCGAAGGTCAATTGGACTTCCTTGGTTTTTCTTCAGAACTGAAGAAGTTTCTTGGATGAGAAGTGAAATGTTTTCAAAGATTAAAAATAACAACAACAAGAAAGTCCAGGTGCCTTCTGGAAAAGCATCTTTGGGATAACTTGAATGAGGAACCCTGTGGAGCAAAAACTAGCTTCATAATTGCCATTATATATTGTAATGCAGGGGTGGGCAACTGTGGCCCTTTTACAACCTGTGGACTCCAACTCCCAGAATTGCTGAGCCAGGAATTCTGGGAGTTGAAGTCCACAGGTTGTAAAAGGGCCACAGTTGCCCACCCCTGTTATAATGTAAAGGATACTGCAAAATCTCCATTCCCTCCCCACTCCTGGGGGAAGGATATTTCAAAATCCCCATTCCCTCCCCATTCCTGGGGAAAGGATATTGCAAAATCCCCATTCCCACCCCACTCTGAGCCAGCCAGAGATGGTATTTGCCGGTTCTCCGAACTACTCAAAATTTCCGCTACCGGTTTGCCAGAACCTGCTGAATAGCACCCCTGTATTTGTACCAAGGCCAACTTTGGAAGGAATTCCACGCACCGGGCATATTGTGGTCCAGTTGAATCGTACCACTGGCTCGAAGCAGTAATGTCCTCGTCTCGGATGGTCCCTTCATACATCCCCAAAGGATACCGGCATATTGCTGGGAAAGGGGAGAGAGGGTGAAGGGCACAAGGTTTGAAGTGAAAAAAAAAAGGCGAAGACCTCCTTCATCTGTGAAAAACGATCATAAGTAATTTTGGGGGGAACAGTCACTAAGTCTATTAATGTGGGAGTTACATCATTCAAGTGTGTTATTCACCCCTAACGCTAACAAAACATGCTATTTGTAAATAAAAATGTACTTAAGGACTACAGTGTTGTGAAAACATATTGCCCTACAGGATCGAACTCACAGTGGCAGTCGGATATTCTGTCAAGCCATATGCTAATCCCGTCTTATCACATGAGGACTGCCTTAGATAACACAAGTTCTCACACGTTCTTTTAATGCTATTTCAGGTCATTCCAGTTTTGGGGTTCTTGCCAAGTACAATATATCAATATGTAATCCTGTCTTGGCAAGAAGCAGGAGGCTATTTGGGGACAATATGCATTATCTAGAAAAGCAGAGGAAGATAAATCCAGAATTGGTATTTGAAACTGACCGGATAAGCTTTGGTGAAATTGACGCTCCTGGATTACCTACTAAGAAATTACATCTCTTGTGAAATTAATTAGAAAGAACTAAAGAATTCAAAGATAGCTTAGAACCGTAATGGCGAACCAATGGCACGTGTGCCACAGGTGGCACGTGGAGCCATATCTGTGGGCGCACGAGTGTTGCCCTAGTTTAGCTCCAGTGCGCATGCGCGCACCGGCCATCTGATTTTCAGGCCTTCCAGTCCCACCGGAAGTCGGGAAACAGGCCGTTTCTGGCCTCTGGAGGGCCTCCAGGGAGGTGGGGAAGGCTGTTTTTGCCCTCCCCAGGCGCCAAGAAAGCATCTGGAGCCTGGGGAGGGAGAAAAACAGGCCTACCGGACCCACTGTGCCATCGCGTGCCAAAAGCAAGGGGAGCAGGGGGGAGAGGCGCATTGAATTATGGGTGTGGGCACCCGCACATGCAACCCCCATGCTCCCCCCACTTTTGGTATGCGACGGCAAAAAGGTTAGCCATCACTGACTTAGAATAAGGAGCTATTTTCTACCTTGGCTTTTAATGGACAACAAAATATGGCTTTTGTTGTTCTTTTTCTATATTTACATCCCCTGACCAGAAGGAAGGAAAAAAAATATTTATCTATTCCCATCTGGAGACAAGAAATCGGATTCAATAAACAGACATGACGATTGGCTGGGTATTAATCCCCGAATTCTGGTGTCTCTTCTACGCGTCTTAAATTTATGGGACCAGTGCATCATCAACATTGCAGAAATGGCGGCTTGAAATAACGGTCCATCAAAGATATGGCTGTTTTCGTGGAGACTTAAAAGTGTTCCCGATGGACTAGGCAGAAATGGAACGGGAGATATTTAAGGCTGGGAAAGCAAGGGATGTTTCCATTTAGTTATGAGGTTCATACCTGGATTGACTTCAGACCCCGAACTTGTTGAAAATCCAGCCAAGAGCAGAAGAGATAAGCAGAACATCCTTAGTGAAGGTAACCTTGGAATGGGTACCCTCCGTTGGTCAGTTTGACGGGGTCCTCAGTCACTGCCATTCATGATTCTGAGGGAACGGAGAAGGAAGAACTTGATTAGAACTAGATGGTCAGATTCTAGATCAGCTGTCAAGCGCCAGGGGAATCAGGAGATCCAGGCAATTCAAATGGGTATAAAGATTTATTGTAAGCTTAGGGTCTCTACATGAATCTGAACTACTAACAGTCAAAGCAAGTTGGCGGGAGATAAGGAATTCACAATGGGCTGGACTTAGGTCTCTTGAGGGCGCGAAGGGACTCATAGGCAGTTCAAATGGGTATAAAGATTTATTGTAAGCTTAGGGTCTCTACATGAATCTGAACTACTAACAGTCAAAGCAAGTTGGCGGGAGATAAGGAATTCACAGTAGGCTGGACTTAGGTCTATTGAGGGCATGAAGGGATTCATAGGCAGTTCAAATGGGTATAAAGCAGGGGTGAAATGCTCCCGGATCGGACCAGATCACTTGATCCGGTAGCGATTTTTCCCTGTGGTTCGGCGATCCGGTAGCGATCGCCGCCCGGATGTCATTATTTCCTGGTTTTAACCAGGAAGTAATTTTTTTTACAGTCACTGAAGCAGTCGGCGTGAGCTTAAATGGACTCCAGAGGATGGTAGCGGACAGGAAGGCCTGGAGGAACGTGGTCCATGGGGTTTCGATGGGTCGGACACAACTTCACAACTAACAACAACAACGCTTTCTTTGATCAGAGAGAAGGAAGAAGGAAAGCCATAAAGCCTCCTGCAAATCATATCCTGAAGGAAATTAACTTTCCACGTCCTTCCCCCTCGTTGCTTCGAAACACAATGGAATTCCTTTTGCTTGGGCCGTCTCCTGGGCATGCAGAGACCTTGCTCCAAACTTCCGTCCCAACCGAGCTTGCAAGGTGCAAGCAAAGAGTCCAATTTCCTCTCCAGCTTTCTGATAGCCAAGCAGGGGAAAAAAAAAAGCGTTAAAATTCTCCTTTGCACGGGGGGCCCAGGGCGGTTTTTGCCGCTAATTGCTAACAGCTGCGGGAACTGTATATTTTTAAAAAATCATATTACAGAAGAACGGGGATGATAGCAGAAGGCGAGGTAGGAGGATTTGGCCAAGGTCACACACACACACACACACACACACACACACACACACACACACAAAATCACAAGTGCTCTGAGCTGGAGACAATCTCAACCCCCTTCCTTAGCAAGGGTAGAGAAGGCCCACCTGTTCTTCTCACCTTCTCCTCTCCCTGGCACAGGTTTCCAGCTCTGATCTGCCCCGCGTGTGCCACGTTCCCTTCGTCTGTTTTGCACACGCGTCGCGCCTCCCTCCCTCCCGGCTCAAGTCCTACTCGGAGAAGTATCTCTGGAAGGAAGCAGCATCCCACCATCTGCCTGCCTTCTGCTTCCCTCTTCAGGCCTTTGTGGACTCTAACGAGATCCATGCCCATGTGCGCTTCTCTGCGCCCCAACTTTGAGGAAAGGGCTTGGAGGCTTGCAGTCCCCTTCCCCTTGGATTTCCCCTGCTTCTTTCTTTCTTTCTTTCTTTCTTTCTTTCTTTCTTTCTTTCTTTCTTTCTTTCTTTCTTTCTTTCCTTCCTTCCTTCCTTCCTTCCTTCCTTCCTTCCTTCCTTCCTTCCCTTCTTTCTTCTAAAATATCAGCTTCTCCCAACGAGGAACTTTCAGCTGGCTCTGCCTTAAAGAACGACAGAGTTGGAAGGGGCCTTGGAGGTCTTCTAGTCCAACCTCCTCGAGCAGGAGACCTTCAAGACAAAAGGTTGCCCAAATCCTTTCTTAAATCCTCCAGTGTTGGAGAATTCACAACTTCTGAAGGCAACTTTTGTTCCACCGATTGGGTTGTTCTCACCGTCAGGAAATTCCTCCTTAGTTCTAGATTGCTTCTTTCCTTGACTAGTTTCCATCCACCTGTTGCTTCTTGTCCTGCCCTCGGGTGCTTTGGAGAATAGCTTGACTCCCTCTTCTTTGGGGCAGCCCCTGAGATATTGGAAGACTGCTATCATGTCCCTCCTAGTCCTTCTTTTCATTAAACTGGACATACCCAATTCCTGCAACCGTTCCTCGTATGTTTTAGCTTTCAGTTCCCTAATCATCTTTGTCACTCTTCTACACTATAGCTGCACTCTATTTAGCTGTGATGGCGAACCTATAGCACGCGTGCCCGAAATAGCACATGGAGCCATGTCACCTGGCACGCACGGCATCACCCGTTCCTCTTCCGAGGACGATCAGCTAGCCTTTTTGCATGCAGCAGTACTGGAAACTGCAACAGCTGGTCTTCTGTTTTCCTGCGTGAGCTTGCGTGCCGACCAGCTGATTGTCGCGCGCACACGCACGCCAGGGGTGGGTTCTACTTACCTTCACTACCGGTTCGCATCGTTCCCGCGCACTTCTGCGCATGCGTAGATCAACTGTGATGACGCCCGGGTCAGTGCAGAGCCTCCCACCAGTTTTACTACCGGTTCTTGCGAACCGGTCTGAACCAGGGGCAACCCACCACTGATGCATGCCGGAAACCCAGAAGAGTACCTCGCTGAAACCGGAAGTTCAGTAGCTGAAACCGGAAGTTCATTTTCAGGCGTGCACATGCACCCTGGGAAGCTCCTCTTCCGGGTTGCGGCCCAGTCGCACACACGCGCGCTCCCTTTTCGGCACCTGGTGCCGAAAAGGTTATGCCGTCACTGCTATATAGGGAGATATGCTTTCCCCTTCCATGCCTACAATTGTGAAAGCAGTCTCATCTTGTGATCTTGGATGACCCCACACCTGGATCAAGAAGATAAAATGGGGTGTGTGATGATGATGATGATGATGATGATGATGATGATGATGATGATGATGACAACTTTATCTGGGCCTCATGAACCGGGCATTAGTTTCTCAACCCTTGTGAGCCTTCACCGAATGGTGCAATAGTCTCACAAAACCTGCGCATTTCAGCCAAACGTAACACAGCCGCAGCCTCCTGTGGCCTATGACACACAGATGTGTGGGGTTGTGATTGCCCTTAGCTTAGAAGGCCACAAGGGAGCTGTAGCCCTATCTACAGGATCTATGCGTGGGTGGGATCGTGTAATTGGGAAAGTTGATGCTGTTCTTTCTCTTTCTTGTGAGTTTTCAGCCTTTTTCAATTTCATGGGGTATTGCGCTCTGCTCTCATTCTCTCGTATATGTGAGAATCTATCTGTCTGTCTGTCCGTCCGTCCATCTGTCTATCCATTCAACCATCCATGCATGTATCACTTCTATCCATTCTGCCTACCTATCTCTCTGTCTCTCCGTCTTTCCATCTCTCTACCGCGTTTCCCCGAAAATAAGACCCTGTCTTATATTTCTTTTTAAACCCCAAAATAAGCACTTGGCCTTATTTTTGGGGAGGTCTTATTATTTTGGGGGCACGTGGAGCAAGATGGGGCTCCTCTTGCCGTCTTACCTGATTTCCTGCTCTGCATTTAAATATTTTCAGGGAGGGCTTATTTTTGGGGGGAGGCTTATTTTAGCGCATGTGCTCAAAAACCCAAATGGGCTTATTATCAGGGGATGTCTTATTTTCGGGGAAACAGGGTATCTCTCTATGAATTGTCAGGCAACTCTGCCTACTGCTGAAGGAAGGGCACTCTTTGGTCTTTCAAAATTTAAAAAAACAAAACGAAACAGATACTCCGTCCCTCTTCCAGGATCGAACTGAGCCAAGAGAAAAGCAGTCCCTCTTCCTTCCTCTAAGCCAGAAGCAAAAGAAAGGCAGCTGTGTACCCTTCCAGCTACCCTGGGCCATGCCCTCTGCCTTCCCCTACGATGCCCCAGGGCAAAGATGTCAAAAACATGGTTTCCAAATTCCCCCTTTCTAGCTTTGCCTTCCTTTCCCTTTGGAGGGAAGGGTGGGCAGGCCTCAAGTCCCCGGAAGAGGAGTGAGTTGCTGAATTCAACAAAGCCAAGGAAAAAGTCTGTTAGGGAGTTGGAGAGTGAAGAGAAAGAGGAGAGGAGGGAAGAGAAGAGAAGAGAAGAGAAGAGAAGAGAAGAGAAGAGAAGAGAAGGAGGGAGGGAGGGAGGAGGGAGGAAGGAGGAAGAAGAAGGAATATGAGAAAAAGAAGGAAAACAAGACAGAAAAAGAGGGAGGGAGGGAAGGAGGGTAGGAGGGAGAGAGAGAAAAAAAGAAAAGGAAGAAGGAAGAAGGAAGGAAGAAGAGAAAGGGAGAGAGAGAGAAAGGAAGAAAGAAAGAAAGAAAGAAAGAGGAAAGAAGGAAGGAAGGAAGACAAGGAAGAAAGGAAAGAAAGAAAGAAAGAGGAAGGAAGATAGGAAGGAAGGAAGGAAGAAAAAGAAGGAAGGAAAGAAAGAAAAAGGAAGGAAGGAAGAGAAAGAAAGAAAGAAAAAGAAAGAAAGAGGAAGGAAGGTAGGAAGGAAGAGAAAGAAGAGAAAGAAGTAAGGAAGGAAGGAAAGAAAGAAAGAAAGAGAAAAAGAAAGAAAGAAAGAAAAAGAAAAAGAGGAAGAAAGTGCGCAAGAGAGAGAGAGAGAGAGAAAGAAAGAAAGAAAGAAAGACAGACAGACAGACAGACAGACAGAAAGAAAGAAAGAAAGAAAGAAAGAAAGAAAGAAAGAAAGAAAGAGAGGAGGGAAGCTCACACACCCCGCACAACAGGCCTTACCTCCCTGGCTGCCTTATCCGTCCTGCCACCCCCGCCATGGTGGGGTGAGAGAGCCTAGGCGCTTGAGCTCCACGGATCCAGCCGGGCTCCCTTTCCCACCATCCCTTCTCGGGCCCAGCAACTTTGCCAGGGGTGCTGAAAGTGGTTGCCGAGGGAGAGGAGGCTGCTCCTGACTGCTCCGTCCCTCTGCCACGGGCCCAGGAGGCTCTTCTCCCTCTTCTCCTTCTCCTTCTTCTCTTTCCTCTTCTATGTCACTCCGGTTTCTATGGCAACCCCCTGACGGAGGCTACGGAAAAGAGCAGATGTGTGTGTGTGTCTGTTGGTGTGTTGGTGTGTGTCGGTGTGTGCAAAGCCTTCGGCGCTCTCCCCTCCTCCTCCTTCCTCTCTCTCATCCCCTCCTACTTCAAGCTGCTCCCACAGTTGTTCAGCCCACAGCTGGACCCTCTCCAAACTTTGCATGCAAAGAAGGGGAAGCCACAATGGCCAGAAAACAAGGGGAGCCAAGGCAGGAAGAGGGAGGGGGGGAGCGGTGGTTGTGGGGCAGGGGGCGGAGGGAGGTAATCCCCCCACTCACCCACCCACCCACCCTTCTCCCTTCCCAGCCTGCTGACCCTACAGAAATGGGAAGCTGCACCACAGGCGCCAACGGGGGGCTCGGCGAGTTTGCAGCGAGGAAATTGAACTTTTGCTCTCCTGCTCGATAGAAGGCAAAGCAGTTCCTAGAAGAAGCGTGGGGCAGGGATGTGTGGGGCAGCCACCGCTCTGGGACAGGAAGGCCATCCATCAAAATGTGTTATCTTTGCAAGTCCTTCTTTGAGGAAGAGTGCTGTCCTTTGAAAAGCTCTTTTCTTTGTTTGGTTCTTGGTTTCCATCCCATCAAGGGTTCGGTGACGGCTACAGTTATCTTGGGAATACTATTTTGCGGCGGGTGTGGGGGTAGAATGAATGCCGGTGACTCTCATCCTTTACGATAAGTCATAAACGGAGTAACAGAGTTGCTAATAAAGGGGAATATTTGTAGCTCAGGGTTGAAAGGAGGGGTCCTTGGGGCTCTCTGAGCTTGGGTGATTTTCTTACAGACGTTTCATGACCCAACTAGGGAACATCCTCAGTGCTAGAAGAGAGTGGGGTGTAAGGAGGAGGAGGAAGAGGAGGAAGAGGAGGAGGAGAAGGAGGAGAAGGAGAAGGAGAAGGAGAGGGAGAAGGAGAAGGAGAAGGAGAAGGAGAAGGAGAAGGAGAAGAAGGAGAAGGAGAAGGAGAAGGAGAAGGAGAAGATTGTGGGGTCCTTGGGGCTCTCTGAGCTTGGGTGGTTTTCTTGCAGATGTTTCATGACCCAACTAGGGAACATCCTCAGTGCTAGAAGAGAGTGGGGTGTAAGGAGGAGGAGGAAGAGGAGAAGGAGGAGAAGGAGAAGGAGAAGGAGAAGGAGAAGGAGAAGGAGAAGGAGAAGGAGAAGGAGAAGGAGAAGGAGAAGGAGAAGGAGAAGGAGAAGATTGTGGGGTCCTTGGGGCTCTCTGAACTTGGGTGATTTTCTTACAGACGTTTCATGACCCAACTAGGGAACAACCTCAGTGCCAGTGAGTGTGGCTTGCTCCCTGTTTATATACAGTAGCTCTGAGCTTCATTGTTTGCTTGCAGACGTCTCATGACCCAAACAAGGCAACATCATCAGTGCTAGTGCATTGCCGCTAGCGCTGATGATATTACCTAGTTGGGTCATCGAACGTCTGCAAGAAAACCACCCAAGCTCAGATCTTCTGTATAAAAACAGAGAGAAAATCACACTCACTAGCACTGATGAAGTTACCTAGTTGGGTCATGAAATGTCTGCAAGAAAATCACCCAAGCTTAGAGAGCCCCAAGGACCACACAGTTAGATAAGTAGATAGATAGATAGATAGATAGATAGATAGATAGATAGACAGACAGACAGACAGACAGACAGACAGACAGACAGACAGACAGACAGACAGACACCAGTAGGGAGGTAGATAGATATGATAGATGGATAGATAGATTAGATGAATGAATAGATAGACAGACAGACAGACCAATTAAAACTCGGACCACACGTCTTCTGAATAGTTTTTATCCCAGAGCTATAATTGCACTCAACAAATGAACTAAAGGGCCACCATTGGTGAGATGTTGGACAGCATGACTTGGTCTGTTGTGTGGATGTTTGGGTGGTTTTAGGGGTGGGGAATTTGTGGTGGGTGGGAGTGTTTTTGGGGATTGTTCTGTGTGTTGGACCTGGTCTTTGGGTGTTAAGTGAATTTCGTTGTATGGGTATACTGTGTATTCACGTACAATGACAATAAAGTTATTATTATTATTATTATTAAAAGACCCCTCTGCATCCAGGAGCTATCACACTCTCCAAAGCCTTAGAGATGACAATTTGATTGCATCCATTGACCTTCTCTTACTCCTCCTTTTTTTTCCCCCCTAATTCTGGCTAGCAGCTAAACTGAAGATGCCAGATTCTCCTATAAACTTCTATAAACAAGGCAAGGAGGTCAAAAGCAGAGAACTTAAAGCTAAAGGTCCCACTCTTTCTCCATGAACAAAGAACATTCTGGGAGGGGTACCAGGACGAGGGGAGGGTTTTGCTGACTCTGGCTTTTATGGTGTCCCTCAAGACTAGTCCGTGACCTTAGAAACCACAAGACAAGCTAAGGAAAGAAAATTATCCTCCGAAGGGTGTTGGAACGGGCCAAACTCACAGACTGTTGTTTTCTCATATCTCTCCGTGCTTACAAGTGCGAGGCAGACTGTCTAGGAGTTATGGGGCTCGTCGTATTTCTTCTGTGGCTATTAAGGGGGAGAATTTTTATCCGCGGGCCTCCAATTAGGATTATTACGCGGTGAAGTGGGAGGCAGAAATAGCTCTAGCTATTTAGAGAGAACACCTGGGAAACGAAGAAGGAGGAGGAGGAGGAGGGTTGCGTGCAAAAGGAGCCCTCGCCTACTGGAATAGGCCGCCTCTAATTTCTCCTGTGCAAGTTTGTAAGATGTCAAACCATGTGCCCCAGGGTGTTATGGGGCCCGTTTTTAGCACGGGCCCCAGATGAAAATAGAGCGCGCTTGTAAGTCTTGTCCCAATGTGATTGCCCGGGCTGGACTTAGATTTATTTAGAAAATTTATACGGCCATCCAACTCATTTAAGGTGACTCCGGGCTGTTTACAGCATCAACTGGTGGTCCGGGCAAGAAAATTTTGGTGGTTCGCAGAAAAATTATTTGCATTTTTTTTATCTTGCACTAAATCAGGGGTCCTCAAACTACGGCCCCTGGGCCAGATACGTGCAATGAAGTGGTCTTCCAGGTGCGCTTTAAGGTGTTGGTTCTCATCTTTAAAGCGCTCCATGGCTTAGGGCCAGGATATTTGCGAGACTGATAACCTCCCACCGGCCAATACGCTCTCACAGAGAGGGCCGCCTCAGGGTGCCGTCGGTCAGGCAATGTCGGCTGGCGGCCCCCAGGGGGAGAGCCTTCTCTGTGGGGGCACCCGCCCTGTGGAACGAGCTGCCTCCTGGAATACGATTGATCCCGGACCTCCGGACCTTCCGTAAAGCCCTGAAGACGTTTTTATTCCACCAAACCGGCCTAGCCTAAATGGTTTTTAATTGGGATTTTAAATTTTAAGGATTTGGGGGTTTTAAATTGGGAAGCTCATGATTTAATTCTTTTTTAATTATCTTAACTTTTGTATTTGTATGTTTTTTTAATTTTGGCTGTTCACCGCCCTGAGTCCCTTCTGGGAGAAGGGCGGTATACAAATTAAATAAATAAATAAATAAACGTTTGTGTTCCTGCAGAGAGTCTCCCCCTTTGGGGTCTTTTTGTGCAGGTTGGAGGGGGACAGAAATTCCGACTCGGGATCTGCTTCAGCCTCCTGGTGCGGGGTTTCGGACGAAGGCTGGAGGGAAGCACCGCCGGTGGCGAAGAGCCGGAAGGCCTCGTTCCGGTGGGACTGCCTCATGGCCTGGAACTGGCTGACTATCATCAACCTTGCCTTTGATTATTGGTTTTGTGAGGAGGTGGTTATTTTAGTAAACCAGCATCAGATGGCAGCCAAAATTGGAAACGGGTCGAAAACGAGCCAAGAACCGCAGTGGAGATCAAGAGGTCAGCAACCCACAAACTTGGCATCAATTCAACCCACAGCTCAATCTCGGCCACTCTTAGACTTCATTTCAAATAATCCCTGTTCGCCAAAGGGTTCGAATCATCATAAGACCCTCTGGGACAGAGGTTCTCAAACTTTCTGGCTCCACAGACGGGTAGAGGCAGTGGCAGGTTTAACGTATGCAACAGTGCAGCCTAATCCATGCATGCACAAATGCTCGCTGCTTGTGCAACCCTGTTCCCAATGCGCCGTGGCTCAGTACCAATTCACGGGCTGGGAGTTGGGGACACCCCCCCACCCCACCCCCCACCGCCACTGGCATATTTCCTGAGAGCGGGCAAAATCGATGCTAGATGCTAAGGCTGCTTTGATCACCGCTACCAATTTTATGTAGTTCCTCAACAGTTTTGTCTCCAAGAGAAAACAGATTTTGAACTGGCCGGCTGGGAAATTAGAGGGATTATTCTCCCAATAAATAAAAAGAAAACCACTGAAAGGGAAGGAAAATTAGCACAAGAGAGACATTCAGCAAGTTAATATAGAAAAAAGTAACTATTTATTTGCTTGGGTCAAAAGTTGGGCATCTTGACCATTTTCTTCTAAGAAACATTGAAAATCCCCAACGATGAGAAGACTGAAAGAAGCAATGTGTCAGACTTCGATGCTATCTCAAAATAAATGAATTTCCAAACTGCCAATCTTTAAGGAAATCTTCTCTTTATTCGAGTACAACAACTGGATCATGACTCAATGCTGACCTTTTGCCCCCCAATCCCTCCCTTTCCGATCCCCAATTCTCTGCTTCTCATTGGCTATCTTCCAAGTCACTCTCCTGACTTCTTGTCTCGTCATTTCACAGGAATGTTCTCCCCCTCTTCATTTCCACGGAGACCGGGCTTCAAAGGGATTTAGCAGGCAAAAGTTCAGGGCTTATCTCCCTTTTCTATGTCAGCGCTGAGGTGCTGACACAATGGCTGAAGAATCCAAATGCTTGAAAGAAAACTGACCGTGGAAAGCTGGATTAGAGACGCACAGTTTGGATGTCCCTTCGTACCCCAGACATTCTGCTACAGCAGAGCCATTTGAGGGACCCAACTGTAGATGCCAACTGCTTCAAAGTTGTAGAACATAAGAAGAGCTAGATCCACGCGTGATAATCTAGGGAACGGGTGCATGCAGTCTAGGGAGGCTCTCCAACCATCCCATTAATTTTCAGTCCCCAGTGATCGTGTTGCTCTTCATTATTCATCAAAGAATC